ACAGCAGACAACGTGTTACCCGGAGTTATCGTCTATAAGAGAGTGTTTGTTCGGCGGGTCTTGGCTTACACCTGCCAATATAAAGTAAAATTCTCCCAGTGACCTGTCTACCTTCCTGGAAAGGACAGGATGAAGATGACCTAGGTGGACGATTCCTCGGGAGGATGTACGATGGGTCACATATGACCTCATCTTTTGTACTCTACAGATACAGAGATACAGAAGGCACGATCATAAAATGTGGTTACCACTTCATCAGTGTTTATCCATACCGGTGTATTTTTGGAGGCTGAAATATTGGTATGTGGTTTCTTTTTGTATTGTAGAGGTGCAATGATAAAGGATTTTTGACCTTGCAACTGGTTCCCCAGCCCTAGGGTATGCCCTGGCCTTGAATTTTTGTTATGTGAATTTATATTTCGAATAAGCATCGCCCCCGTGCTGAACTGGGGCAGGACGCTAGTTTTTCATAAACATTTTCACGGTCTGTCCAAAATGTCACATTGTATGAGGCACATGACCGTCGCGTCGTTCAATTTCTGAATTGAGAATGACTCTGTCTATTCCCGAGGCTGGAAAATACTAACATACCTAGTTCGGAAAGTGGGTGTCCCAAGATTTGGACGATCGACAGAAACTGTCAAGTCCCAAAGTCTGTCACGTGTGATGGAAAGTAGATCCTCTAGGACAACAGAAGTTGTTCAGGGCAAAAAAAAGACCATGATTACTGCTTTTCAAGCACTTTGATACATTTCTCACCGGTTGAACCTTCGCCAATCAGGTTTAGAGAGAAACGGCCATCGTCGATACAGTTTCTTTCTCAATATCATTCATATTTTCATTTCTGACACTGATTCACATTGAACACTTATTTCAAACATGAACCACATTTATAAAGACCGAATGCCGTGAACTCTACAAAGGATACTCTCTAGAAAGGATTCAGAAAACAAAAATCAACTGAAGATGCTATATTAAAATTAATCCAAAAGTTATCCGAGTCCATAGAGGAAAGTGAACCATGCTTATGTGTTTTCGTGGAACTATCCGAGCCTTCGATCTAGTGAGTCATCAATTACTGCTTGAAACCCTACAAGATATTGGAGTCAAAAATATTAGTTTGAAATAATTTAAATCTTATCTCCAACACAGACACCAATTCGTAAAGATAGACGACAACTGCAGCAATCCCAGCACTATTCAGTATGGAGTACCCCACGGAACAATTCTGGGACCACTTCTCTGTAATATTTACGTGAACGGTATGTTTTTGCTGAAGGCTAGGGGGGATATCCTAGGTTTCGCTGATGATACAGTAATTTTTTACAAAGGTAATTCTTGGGAAGAACTCAGGGACATAGTTGCATCAGACTTTCATATAATCTGGAAATGGCTCAATCGTAAATTACTCACAATTAATGTTGATAAAACACACTTCCTACCGTTTTGGTGCAGTAGGACAACTATCCGTAATTTCGATAAAATTCAAATTAACATTCCAACAAAACAGTTTGTTATCAAATAAGCAACATCTTCAAAATATTTGGGAGTACACACAGATAAGCATCTCAAGTGGAACATTCATATCTTATCTCTATGCCAAAAGCTGAGATTCATTCTCCACAAGTCCTGGCATCCTCACTACCACTAAAGCAATTAAAAGCACTGTATTATGCCCTTGTAGAGAGCCATCTTCGGATTATTAGCATGGGGTGCCCTAAAAACTCATTTATATCCTTTAGAAGTCCTCCAAAGACGGTTTTTAAAAATTATTTTAAAAAAAGAACCTTTTTCCATCTGATGCTCTCTATGCGGAATGTTATGTATTTGATGGCTACCAACTCTTTTTCCTGAAAATAAATATGTATTACCACCAAAAACAAAAATTTTAATTACCCACACATGATACACGTCAACGAAATCAACATATCACACCACAAATGCGAAAACCAATATCCCAACGTTCATATAAATACTTTGCTTCAAAATTATACAACACATTTCCACATGAAATCATATTGATTAAGAACCCACATCGTTTCAAAAAAAACACTGAAATCTTTCATACATGAAGAAATCCGGAAAAAATTTCGTCATTGTTGGTCGACTCGAATGATGATTATTTTCTATACTCTATAATTTCTCTTCTCATTCAGTACTCGCTAGTATGTAACCTCATGTATTACAATATCAAATTATATAGATATAGATTGTTTATAGATTTAAGTTTATATTTCTCCAATGTAATTTTATCGATATCGTCTTTGTCTTTTATTATATATATTTTTTAAGTATTATTTTATCACTAACAAGCACGTTTAGAGCTTCTGTGACTTCTAGTTCATTCATACATAAATCTTATATAAATCATGTGAATTGGATAAACTTTATTATTATTATTATACTGAAAATTTCAGGGCGATATATGTATTTTTTCCATATCAAACGAAGAGAACACATTCTGCCGAGAAGAAATCAAAATGAGAGATATGCCTACCAAATAAAAACATAATAAAAAATTTAATCCATATCAGCAAGTCTATGAACCTACAGAAGAAGAAGCAAATGCCTGCGTTAAAAATTCCATCAGCTTTATTTTATTTTTAATGCACTCAAATAAAGATCTGTCCGCTTCCAGCCGAAACGTAATTCTGCGAAATCTCAAGAATCCTTTTAAGGGTACATTAACGCAAATGTCAGGAGGATTTTGGATTTGCAAAACAGCATCAAAACATTTTCATATTCGTGCATTGAAAATTAGTTAAAAATGTATTTATGTGATGCACTCGGCAATTATAATTACCAGATTTTGGGAACTCGCATAATGTTTCAAGTGTGGTTCAAGATATATTGATTTGGGGTATGGAAATGGTGATTTGGATATTATTACAGGAATCAAAAAACCTTCAACATTTTCCACTGAAGTGATCGATATCAGAACATCACATTCAACAATCTGTTTTTTGTTCTCTTGTTGTTCAGCTGAAGCACAACACATCTTCCACTAAATCACAGTTTTCCTTTCATTACGGATTTATATATTTTGAAACGTTTACACTACTTTCATCACAGTAGAATTCCATGATATTCCAAATATTGCGTTGAAACGAAAATATTGTTGAAAAGTTTGTGATTCTATATATTTCATCATCATTTTTCTTCATCTGTTTAGTAAAATTTCCGTACGCCACTGCACGGAACGGGAAAATTCAGCAGAACAAGTGCTATTAAAAAATAATAATTGACGTTTCTCTTGTAAAGTTGCCCCGATGAGCTATACGATGAAGATTTGAAAGCAAATTCGTTAATAATATACCAGGAATTGAACTAACGATCCTTCGACATTCACGGGGAAATTCTCAGCTTCCTCCTCAGAAGATATTTATTTGGAGTTGAACTCATTTTTGTATTTGAAACTTTGGATTCAATGACCAGGTAACACATCTCTTGATGAAGCAGCTACTTCGATTCTGTAAACAGTCAGGTAGGAAGACGATGATCTTCATGAATAGAAAAAAATAATATTCAATGGTTCCGTCGTATGGAGTTGAAAACATTTAAATTGATTCAGTTCCAAACAGTATGAGCAGACCTTGAAATTCCGTTCCTTTGAAAATTTCCAGCTTATTCTGTAATCCCTCAAAAGCAGCTGATGGTTTCAGAAGTTGATCTTGTTTTATTGTCCCATCAAATGTTTTATAGCGTGATTACAGCTACACCTTCGAGAGTTTATAGTCTCTCGCTGATTGACTCTATTCGTGGAATGCCTCGTAAAACCGAATACTTCCCGCTTTTCCTTTCAATTCATTACTGGAGACTTGAAAATTAGGAACTAGCTACTTATTGGATCTCAGCAAAGCTCGTTGAATTTGTGAATGAGTTAAAACTGTGAAATAAGTCTTTTAAGACGCTTCATATAAATTTATTGGTTATTTTTGGACCAAGTTGTGTTCTCCTGATTCCTCGACTCTGATTTCAAGCATCCTAGTGCTTAATAATACTGTATTTCCAAATATACTACATTTTATTTAACTTATTTCGATCAAAATGTTCAGGATAGCAATTCAACATCGACCAAAGAAGGTCATTTTCCTAATGAAATCGACTAGTTCATTTGGTGAATGCTTTCCAGGTCGAATGGTGATCAAACACAAAGTATATGCTCTGCTGTCCAAATTTGTGACCTATAATTAGGCTTGTTAGACAACGTAGGTCACTTTGCCATAGTCTAACAGCCTTGAAATGGCCGAATCCTGGTAGGTTTTGTTCAAATTTGTTTTTGCTAACCAAGTTTTCACCAGTTTGTTGACTTGCAGCGCCATCTCCTACAAGAGCATCAGTAGCTTCAATAATTTCCGGACCAAGAAACCAGACATGAGATAATTCGTTGAATATTCCTATTGGGGAGAGTTTTGGGCAGTTCACTATAATCTTGGAGACTGCTTGGAATGCGCCAAATGCTTCAAGAGCCCCTTGGCAATCGAATTTTTTTTAGATGATTCAAGTGTGAGATCGATTTTTAACAATCTCTACACACATGAATCAATGATGCAGATTTCCATCTCAAAAACATCTTATAAATCCCTTAACAGACTGATATATCTGTCTGGAACTGCCTCCTCTAAATACAACTGCACCAGAATCTGAAGTTGTTTTGATTCATCTGTGAACTGATAGCGTTCCACTCTTAATAAGTTTTCTTTCCGCAGGGGGTACTCCATAGGACTACGACTATAGTTGACTGTTGGAAACATTGAGTACAAGGGCTTTTCCAGAATCATGTAGCTTTTAGTGTCGACGAATAGGCTACTGGATCTACATGAAACTGTTTTGTGCAATTGAAAATATGCACAATTCTATATTTTGCCAATCTAGCCTATCTGTCGATAAAGATATGGGGGCGTGATTAGGTCCAAAATCCGATCCAATGTTCAACTTCAGTTTTTTCTCTTCCAGTTTTGGCATCAAACTAGGTCATCAAAGATGAATGAAAAACTCACCTGCAGTTTAGACCACTGAATACGCCCAATGCATCTGACGGAGTTTCTCCAGGCCAACTTCGCTCCGTAGATTGTCAAAAGAGAGAAGCATACTTTTTTTCCCACACCTCGGAATAATATCGAGATTTTTCATTTCTTGAAGCACAACAACTGCTATAACATCTGGTTGTAGAATGAGAAGGACTACGTAGAATCGAGGAGTAGTGGAGAAAATTATGGATCATTCAGAAATGGCAAACGTGTCTGGAGTTTGGGAAATATTCTAAACTGTGCTCATAAAAATCGGAAATGGAGTTGGAACTGAATATGAGAAGTAAAGATATTTGAACTGTGGGAAAAATAATCCAAGGAAATATATGTGAGTGAGTGGATTATATTTCGTAAAACAATTGTGATATCCTGAGGAATGATATTTGTTTCGAAAATGGAAACCAATTCGATTCCATACATTTGCTAAAATGAATAATTCAAAGAACGCGATACAAAATACCTACTCAATGAATGTTATATCTGTGAATTTATGTTGTTCAAATATAAATTCATCCTAATTCATCGAAACCCAAATTTGGACCAGCACAAGTCTACGCACAGCAGGAAATCAATAAGATGAAATCATTTTCGAAATGTCCGAAGTTGATACTCTTGAATCAGATGTATCGGCTAATCCCATCACTCTTTGTCTTTCCATGAACATGTGACAAACATTTTCAAAGTACCATCTTCGAAACTCAAATCGCTACATAAATTCAAGTATTAGTTATCAGAAGAAACGAAACTCAGGATAGTTAAAACTCTTATTTACCCCCTCATAAGTGCTCATTGGGTCCGAGAATCATGTGCCCTGAGCAAACGCAGTGAGCCAAGAGTGACAGCCTTCTGCATCTGTGCGGCTAAGATTTCTGCCTTAGTGCGGCAAGCCGGTATGATTTTGAGATTCGAGAGTAGAGAAGACATCATTCCACCAAGGACTCCAATAATCAGAACGACCATCTTGACAGAGTGATCTGGATAGAGTCTGCGGAGTTCGAAGAGAAAATCTC